ACTGCATCCTCTGCCCGCTCCATGTGTACGAAGGCATAATCTTTCACAATGTCACATTCGATGACGGGACCATACTCCTCGAACTTGGCTCGAAGCTCTTGGTTGGTACAAGTGGGGCTGATGTTACCCACGTGTAACTTGGTTGAAGCTTTGCTCTTATTCTTGCTGGCTTCCACGTTGATGTTCACCCCATGAAGCTTGTAATGGTGCAGGTTGCGTATGGCATCCTCGGCTGCTGTCTTGTCTTCTATGTGCACAAAGCCGTAGTTCTTAATGATGTCACATTCCAGCACCTTCCCATACTGCTCGAAAAGAGAGCGGATCTCCTGCTCTGTGGCCTCCCGGGGCAGGTTTCCGATGAACAGCTTCACCATCCTGACAAGAGCCTGGGCGAGAAAAACAAGATTTCAAAAGTCAGGGGTGTGGGGGGAAATTTTGGGGCACTGCAGCATTTTCGTCTACTCCTCCAAAGTTCTTACGCCTTAAGGACCCTCACATAGACATTTGCTATTCTTCCTCAATAGAGGGAGAGCGGTTTGTTCTTGAGGAGTGCGAGCTATGTGTGACATGCAAACAGCAGGTCGAGGGTCAGCATGCATAGAGCAGTCTATCATCTCCGTGAAATGGAGCGTAAATACCAGAATTAGCTGTTCCATGTCTTAAAATGAGGAAAGAGAAACGCCCAAGCAAAAGCAAGGAACATCTATCGCAGCGCGCCTGCTAATAAGGTTTTGGAGGGAAATCTATGTGCCTCTCCTACGTGCGCTAGCACCTTTCAAGATACCCTAAAAAGAAAGAAGTCCCCTTTCCCCCAAACCGGGACCAATTACCCGTCTCCCAGCGGCCCACCCTCCAGCTCCTTCGCCCCAACAAAGGCTCGACCCGACCCCTGCCCCGCCTCCTTCCGGAGACCCGGCCCCGCCTCCTCCCGTTGTCTTCCCGGACTTCCCGCAGCAAAATGTGAAAACCAAATCCGGACCACGCTGTCTCCAGGAGGTCTGGCCCAGCCCGCCCCCAGGCTCCCCACATCACACACACAAGAACCTCTCGCACCTCCGGGTGGCGGCGGCGGCAGCGGCTCCCGCGTCAGAGCGAACCCTACAAAATGGCGACAGCCGCTCGAGCCTCGACGCTACCGGGCCCTTTCTCGCGCGCCAGCTCGCGCACGCGTGAGTGCGCACTGCTTCCTCCCGCTTCGCCTCGCGGGATCCAAGTGGCCAATCCTGAAGCTGCATGCAAATGACCGCGCAGCACGGGGGCGGGGCCTGCTGGTGGCGTTGCTGCTCCGCGGAGGCCAGCCCGCCGTCAGCCCCAGCCAGCCAATCACTACCCTGGAAGTGGTCGCTACTCCTGCGTCAGAACAGCTCTGGACGCCACCATTGTCTAGAGAAGTGGAGGCCCGGGGGAGTCACTCGCCATCACAGTGGGTCGCGTTATTGGGCCCTCTGAGGGGGCGGGGTGCTGATGACAAAGGGTAATCTCTCTTGAGTGCCCTAAAAAGGGGCTTTCGTAGCCGGCTGGCCGGCCTCTGTGGCAGCTTGGGGCAACATTTGAGAAATACAGGCGCGCCACATTTTAAGCAAAACTAGGCATTGTTTTGTAGAGCTTTAAACATTAAAGTTTTTATTGCAGACGTGTTATTTATTGGTACGGAAACTGAGAACCAAGGGACAGAAAGATAACCTGGCATTGCTACTCAGGCTACGCTTAGTCATGTTTTGTTTGCTCATGAGTGCCCGTGGGCTGGTTCTCTCTCTCTCATTGTGTGTCCGTCACAGTCCTGGTCTGTGGTGAGCACAATAGAGGAATATTTGGTGGAGAGGCCCAGTGAGGTCCCAGTTTTGGGGTGGGACAGGGTCTCCTCGTCCGCACCAAGCTGGAAATCTACGTAACTGAGTTTCCCAACACACGCGAGCATTCAAAATTCAGCTGTGGTCCAAGGGCACCTCCTGGCGGTAAAAAATTTAGATGGGCCGGGCGCGGTGGCTCACGACTGTAACCCCAGCACTTTGGGAAGCCGAGGCGGGCGGCTCACGAGGTCAGGAATTCAAGACCAGCTTGGCCAACATGGTGAAACCCCCGTCTCTATTAAACATACAAAAATCAGTCGGGCGTGGTGGCGCGCGCCTGTAATCTCAGCTGCTTGGGAGTCTGAGGCAGGAGAATCGTTGGAACCCAGAAGGCGGAGGTTGCGGGGAGCCGAGATCGCACCACTGCACACCAGCCTGCGTGACAGAGCGAGACTCGGTATCAAAAAAAAAAAAAAAAAAAAAGGCTTAGGCGGATTCCCCACTGTCACCTTCCAACAAAGCATAGCAGTTTATGGAGATTGATGAATTGGGTTTATCTCCTAGTAGAGCCTGCCAGACAGATTGTCAGCCACCATTCCCCATTGTAGTGGCTCCATAACGGCTTCTCTAATATTATCAGGCACACATTCCCCAGGCTGCCCTCTTCCACCCCAGCTACTTGAATATGTTCTTTCCCTGAGTTCTTTTTGTTTCTCAGCCATTTCAGAAGAGGCACTGTCCTTCCAATTTTATTTAATTTTTTTATTTAATTTTTTAAAAGACAGAGTCTTGCTGTATCACCCAGGCTGGAGGGCAGTGGGGAGATCTCAGCTTACGGTAACATGTGCCTCCCAGGTTCAAGCCGTTTTCCTGCCTCAGCCTCCCAAGTAGCTGGGACTATAGGCATGCACCACCACACCTGGCTGACTTGTATTTTTTGTAGAGACAGGGTTCCACCATGTTGGCCAGGCAGGTGTCGAACTCCTGACCTCAAGCGATCCACCTGCCTTGGCATCTCACAGTGCTGGGATTACAGGTGTGAGCCACTGTGCCTGGCCCTTAACTATTTTTTTTTTTTTTTTTTTGGGATGGAGTTTTGCTCTTGTTACCCAGGCTGGAGTGCAATGGCGCGATCTCAGCTCACCGCAACCTCCGCCTCCCAGGTTCAGGCAATTCTCCTGCCCCAGCCTCCTGAGTCGCTGGGATTACAGGCATGCGCCACCATGCCCAGCTAATTTTTTGTATTTTCAGTAGAGACGGGGTTTCACCATTTTGACCAGGATGGTCTCGATCTCTTGACCTCGTGATCCACCCGCCTCGGCCTCCCACAGTGCTGGGATTACAGGCTTGAGCCACCGAGCCCGGCCTCTTAACTATTATTTTTGAGTCAGAGTGTCACTTTGTCACCCATGCTGGAGTGCAGTGACACCATTATGGCTCACTGTAGCCTCGACTTCCTGGGCGCAAGTAATCCTTCCACCTCAGCCTCTGGAGCAGCTGGCATCACCGGCAAGGGCCACCACATCCAGCTACTTTTTAAAATTTCGTTGTAGAGATGGGGGTGTCTCATTATGTTGCCAGACTGGTTTCAAACTTCTGGGCTCAAGATGTTTCCACTTTAGCCTCACAAAATGCTGAGATTACAGGTGTGAGCCACTGCACCTGGCTTACTATGTGTTTCTGATTTAAAATAGCACTATCCTATATTAATATCATCTAATGTTTATGCTCAAATTTCTCCTGGATTGTTACAAATGTGTTTTTACAGTTTATTTCTTCTAATCTGGACTTAAACATGGTACATTTGCATAAATTATGTAAATAGTGTTTTTTGAGTTGTATAGCTCATTGTGCCTTACTGTTTTTCCACTAAGGGCTATGTTGCTTCATGATAGCTAACTAGTGAGTAACGCAGTACTCCGTGGTGTACAATCACATATTGTACCTGTTCATCTCTGGGCATAGGGCGCTCAGGTTGCTTCCAGCCCTCTGTCATTATAAATAAGGCTGTGGCCAGGCGCGGTGGCTCATGCCTGTAATCCCAGCACTTTGGGAGGTAGAGGTGGGCAGATCATGTGGTCAGGAGTTTGAGATGAGCCTGGCCAACATGGTGAAACCTGGTCTCTACTAAAAATACAAAAATTAGCCGGGCATGGTGGAGGGCACCTTGTAACCCCAGCTACGCAGGAGGCTGAGGCAGGAGAATCGCTTGAACCTGAGAGGTGGAGGATACAGTGAGCCGAGACCATGCCATTGCACCCCATCCTGGGTGACAGAGAGATAATCCGTCTCAAAATAAATAAGTAAATAGACAAGGCTCCAATGAACATGCTTAACTATGTGCCCTAATTCTGTTTGAGAATTTGGGGGGATATAAACCCAGAGGCGGATTGCTGGGTCATAGAGGATATCTAGAACGCATCTGTCTAGGCCGGGTGCTATGGCTAACACCAGTAATCCCAGCACTTTGGGATGCCAAGGTGGGAGGATCACAAGGTCGGGAGCTCCAGACCATCCTGGCCAACATGATGAAATCCTGGTGTGGTGGCATGCGCCTGTAGTCCCAGATACTCAGGAGGCTGAGGCAGGAGAATCACTTGAACCTAGGGGGCAGAGGTTGCAGTGAGCTGAAACCACGCCATTGCATTCCAGCTGGAGTGACAGAGACTCTTTCAAGAAAAAAAAAAAAAGAAAGAAAAAAAAGAAAAGAAAAGAAACCTATCTAAGTAGCACAAATTGTTCTCTGGAAAAGCCACACCAGCATACTCTTCCACCTGCAGTACATGAGGGGCCTTGTATCTCTACATCCCTGCCAATGATTGACATATCCACTTTTCTAATTTTTGTCAGTCTAATAGATATAAAGTGATATTTCATTGTTGCTTTAATTTGTATTTCTCTGGTCACTAATGATTTTAAGCATCACTTCTTGTTCTTGTCTCTCTCTTTTTTTTTTTTTGAGATGGAGTCTTTTGTGATCTCAGCTCATTGCAACCTCCAGTTCCTGAGTTCAGGCAATTCTTCTGTCTCAGCCTCCTGAGTAGCTGGGATTACAGGAGCGCGTCACCATGCTTGGCTAATTTTTGTATTTTTAGTAGAGACAGGGTTTCACCATACTGGTCAGGCTGGTCTCGAACTCTTGACTTTAGGTGATCCACCCACCTTGGCCTCCCAAATTGCTGGGGTTACTTACAGGTGTGAGCCACCACACCTGACGTTTTTTTTTTTTTTTTTTTAGAAAAGGTCTTGGCTGGAGTGCAGTGACACAATCATAGCTTACTGCAGCCTTGAGCTCCTGGGCTCAAATGATCCTCCTGCTTCAGAATGCTGAAGCCCGCAGCCCCCAGCCTCCCAAGTAGCTAGGATTACATGCCCAGCTAATTTTTTTGTTTGTTTGTTTTTGGTAGAGATGAGGTCTCACTATGTTGCCTCGGCTAGTTGTACACCTAGCCCCAAGTGATCCTCCCACTTTAGCCTTCCAGTATACTAGGGTTACAGGTGGCCTCTTGAATTTTCAAGTTTGTGCTTCTGTAAATTTCCTGTTCATATCTTTTGCTCATTGTTGTTTTCAGGTTGCAGGGTCCTTTTTGTTGTTGATTTTTAGGGCTTTTTTGTATATTCTAGATATTAATCTCTTACTGGTCTCAAGTATCATATCTCATTCCACTAATTATTAACTTTGTCCATGGTGTCCCTCATTGAACAGAAATCCTTATTTTTTGGGCAATGAAATTAATTTCTATCTTAAAGCTGTGCTTTTGAATTTTTTTTTTTTTTTTTTGAATAGCCTGTTGCCCAGGAGTGCAGTGGGGTGTGATCATGGCTCACTACAGCCTTGACTTCTGGGGCTCAAGCAATCCTTCCTCTTCAGCCTCCTAAGTAGCTGGAACTACAGGTGGGTGCCACTATGCCCGGCTAATTTTAAAAAATTTTTTCTGTAGAAATGGGGTTTTGCTGTGTTGCCTAGGCTAGTCTTGAATTTCTGAGCTTGTGATCTTCCGTCTCACCTCCCAAAGTGCTGGGACTACAGGTATGAGCCACTGTACGTGGCTTGCTTTTGAACTTTTGTATAAGATGTTCCTTTGTAGCCCCCGCTAGTCACAAGATATTATCCAACATTTTATTCTATTATGTTTTTTTCTGAGACGGAGTTTCACTGTTGTCACCTAGGCTGGAGTGCAGTGGCGTGATCTCAGCTCGCTGCAACCTCCACCTCCCGGGTTCAAATGATTCTCCTGCCTCAGCCTCCTGAGTAGCTGGGACTACAGATATGTGCCACCATGCCTGGCTAATTTTTGGATTCTTAGTAGAGACGGGATTTCACCATGTTGGCTAGGCTGGTCTCGAAGTCCTGACCTCAGGTGATCCGCCTGCCTTGGCCTCCCAAAGTGCTGGG